CAACTGTAACAGCTAATGGATTCCTTTCTACAATAGCACCATCCCCATTCAAGTTTTAACAACAGGAACGGCTACCTTACCCTAGGGGATAGCTGTGCTCCATCCATGGAGTCATTACCAGTTGGGTAGTGGGTGATCGAGCTACAAAATTTGCTCCCAGCATCTGCTTTCTCAGACCAGTCTTGGTAACAAATGTCTTCCCGAGATCAGAGTGCAAGTGGTTTTGTAGGAAGTGCTCTTAGAATGAACACCTGTGGAAAGGAAAGAAGCTATACTGAGGAGAAAGTGAAGCTGAAATGCAGTTTCAAGGGAAGCTCCACCTGATAGATCCTACAAGTTCTTAAGACTGGATGACCTTTCAGAGCGGTCCTGAGTTGGGGCAAGAAGAGTGGGAACCAAATGTTTATACCCTCGTCCATCATCATGGAATGCAGGCTGCCCGGGGAGAGGGCTCCTGTTGAGTGGAGGCAATCTTGTGACATGATTAACAGTTGAGGTCTGTTCCCACACAGCACTCTAAGCAGCTGGAGAAATAAGTTCTTCATCCTAAAGGTAATTTAGATGGTTGATTACAGAATCCACTAGAACCAACACCACTGGGCCATTCAATGGATGATGGGGGGTGGAGTAGAGGTAGTGAGGTTTGGAGTAGATACCTCTGTTTCTAGACTAGAGCATACCCTCTGTTGGTACAATGATACATTGTTTCTTTAGTCAACAGGCCCGTCTGGGGAGATTTAGGTGGTCTGTGTTCTAATTGTGACTTCTTTATGCCTCTATTTTACCAGGCATCTAAGGGATGCTCCCTTTCACATTTCAATGCTTTAAGCTTTTGAGAAGTTGAATTGTTTAACTTAAACAGGTGATTGATTAGATTGTCAAGAGCTGGTTAGGTATTTGAGAGCTTTGGTGGCATAGTGCCTAAGGCATTTGATTGCTAACCAGAAGGCTGGTCGTTCAAACCCCCAGCCACTCCTCGGAAGGAAGGTAGGGCAATCTATTTCCATAGTGATACTGCCTGGGAAACCCAAAGATGGGTTGCTACGAATCAGATCCGACTCGACGGCAGTAAATTTTGTTTGTTTGGCTAGGTACTTAGGAAGAACTTTTTCATTACATTTAAAGTCTTGTCACTTCAAATGTAAGTGACAAGACTAGCTACATCTTTTCATTTGGCAGATGTTGTTTTATGTCCTTCAATATGATCTTCTTTTCTTGTTAACTAAATTCCTAATATCTTCTTGTTTTGAAGAGGTAACATTAATATGGTTCAAAATTTAACAACAAAAAAAGCATAAAAAGAAAAAAGAAATCTTGCCTGTGTTTGAATCAAATTTATTCAAAAATTCATAAAACTGATAAATACATAGGTAAAGTTAAATATCTGAGAATAATTCAATCTTTTAAATTTAATAAAATATAAGTGAAAGTGATTACTTTACATATATACAAAATAGATAAAAAAAGATCTACAAGAATACCTAGTTTAACTAGGTATTCTTGTATGTGCTGTGAATTCAAACAAGTAAATGCCCATGTTCCCTCTGTGCTTGAAACCTCCCCTCAGGGTTAAAAAAAAAAAAATCACTAAAATCTTAGTGTTTGTTTTTTTCTTAATTTTTAATAAGCACTCATAATACAGTTATCAATACTAAATAGCAAAGAAACCATTTCAGTGTCCAAAATGAAGGGTCTGTCCTAACTTTTAGCTCTTAAATCTTAATAATATAATCGTACTACTTACTTATCCTTAAAGCATAGCATTGGTCATTGCTTATATATAAGGCATTATAAATAAGAAATAAGTAAACTTTCACCTTATAATTGTAAGAACAGTTGATATAAAAATTATTCACCTGAGAATAAATTCTTTCATTTTATGTAGTTTCCAGGAAAGAAAATGAAAAATACAATGTTAGCAATATGAAAAATACAGTAAAAGAATTTCTATTTTTCCAAAACTAATGTCTATTTAGATGTTACATGAAAATACAGCATATTTTTAATAAATTCAGAGTAAGATCAGAATGAAGTGTTAAGTGACCAACAGAACAAGAAAAACAATGACAACACTTGCACTAAACAGAACTGTGCTTCCCTAAAACACTGTTCGTACCATCAGCAAAGCACGCTCTGTTCTACTCCAGTTAGCTGCATAAGCGTCTGGCCTCCCGTAGACTGGAGGTCTTCGGGGCCAACACTAATAGCAATCTTTGTATCTGAAAGACCCAAAGTACTTGATTCAGAGTGAGTTAAATGTGTGTTGAACTTAACTACTTCAAAAACATTTTATTAAGTTAAAAACTGTGGTTTAAAATAGTTTGTGCTAATTTAAAATAAAAAATGTTTTAAAATAAAACCTATGGATTTTCACTAAGAACAAAATGGAGAAATAATTAAGGCTTCACAAAGTGAAATGTAAAGTACTCTCATCCAAATGTTTTTCATTATTACTGTTTGGTATGTAGGCTGTGGACAGGTGCTTGTCTCACTGTCACTAACCACAGTGACTCTGTAAAGCCTAGGCTTTTCCCGTTAACATTTACTCACAGGTGGAAAATATAAGCTAGGTGATGCTGGTTCTTTGCCCCCCTCAACATTCCTAATATTTATTTATTTATTTTGGTATAGAAAATAAGTTTGGAGTTCTGAAATAGAAGACATTTTGAAATGTAGTAATGTATGTTCAAAACCATGACTTTCACACCATAAAGAAACTTCAGCTTTGACTCTTTCCTTTTCCTCCCTCCTCCTTACACTTCCTTTCCTAGTTATTTGTTAAATTATAATTCTGAATAGAAAAAAAAATTTGTTATTCTGAATAAGAGAATAGAACATTCCTACAAATAATTTAATTCATGACCAAAATATCTTCTTTGTAAAAACTAAAAAAATAATTAAAATGTCTTTTTTAAAAAAACGTTTACAAGAATATGTGTTCACCTACAATAACAGTAAAGTAACTGAATGAACACAATAGATAAGAATGTGATTATGACAAGTCCACAGAATCTCCACTTCCACTCTGCAGGAAAACAATTTCACTTTACACTCATCACCCATACAAAATTCAGATTAACATTATCAAATAAATACGCAAAAGCAGGTAATATGCTCTATTTTGAAATAATATTTCCTAGTACAGGATTTTAAAAACTACCTTTTTCAAAGTGTCTGTACTAACTAGTAAAACTATGTGTTTCTTACACTGAAGACAGTGTTCAAGGTTATACATCACTACAAAACACATCCCAAAAGAAAGATTCCCAGGCAATTATATAAGATTGAAAAGGTATCTCTGTAAATGAACGGCACCATTCAGCAATGACTTGCTTAGAAATACAATGTGCTATTTATTATTTTATGTATAAAGGGAAAGATATTCTTTCAACTGCGTTTTGAACTGTATTCATCATACAGCAGGCCTTAGCAAAAGATAGAAAGACAGTTTCTCAAATGAAGAATTCTAAATTAATTTGCTATCACGAGGCAAGTGAGTAACAATGATTAAAAAAATAGTGGAACTAAATCTTACAAAGAGAAATAATGCTGCTGTAGGTTTTAAAATCCGAGCAGAAACTTGTAAACCAGCTCATTTAGATGAGCCAGAGGACCTGTGAATAGCTGGTAGAAGAATGTCTTTAGGAATGTGCACAGCAATTGCCAAAGCAACAGAAGAAAATACCAGTCATGTATCTGATACTGAGAATAGCAAAACAACACTATTTTCAGTCAGCTGCTAGAGCCTAAAATTACAGATGTTGTTCTTTAGTCTTTATAGAGCTACAAGTTCATTAAGTTTTATCTACATTAAACAGTAAGTTCATTAAAAGGTTGGCTACCTAAAATAACTCATACCAAATCTTTCCACTGCTACCCTTTAAATCTCTTTGGAATGCAACAATTACAATTTGTTTTTGCAAGTTCCTACTTCCATTCATCTGGTTGAAATATAATGTGTTTCTATGTGTTATTTATACTATATTATACCTATAGTCCATACATGGATTCTACAAGGAAGTATTTCTAATATTGCATTAATTATAATAACCTTACCTCAACTGTGTCATAGGGTGAAATGCTGGTTTCTTATTAAAGAGAATTATGTATATTTTACTTCTGATTCTTAATTTAATCCCCAAGAGTCTTTTATTTTTTTTTAATATATATCCCACTGAATTGCATAGCAAACGTGAGGTGAGCTCCCAAATAAAACTATGTGGTGATATACTGTACTTAATATTCTATGGAAGAAAGAGATATTCAAATAATGTTTACCAATAAAAATGATTACCCAACAAATTATTTTATTCAAGACTGAAATAAAATGTACCCTTCAAAGGGAAATGCCAAAAAATGTATATCTCCACAAGAGATGAGAGAGGAGGTCTGGCTCAATTCTTCTACCTCTTTAGACGTCTGCCATGCTAGCCACAAAAAGTAAACAATCAGACTATCTACTAAAGTTACTAGATAGTCTTTTTTAAATTACATTAATCAAAACACCTCTGAATTGTATTGTACGCAAAAGAAATGAAACTTCAAATACCTCAGTCACCCACGTGTAAAAGCACCTACTAAGTACTAAGGTCTCATAGCATTTATGATGACTGATGAGTGCCCCCTAGTGGGTGTCGCTTCCTGTAACCTCTACCTGCATTGAGATTTTCTAGTGTTTGTTTTACCTTTTAAGGATGCCAATTTTCACTCAGCTTCTTTTAGAAATTAAAAAGGAGAAGCGAGCAACTTTCACATTATGTCTGTTTTCTGTGTTATCTGTGTATTAATGCTTTAGTCAGATTGTGACATTACATATTTATGTGACAAGATAATAAATATAAATTTTAAAAAATAACGATTACTTCCAAGTAAAAGTTATCATTATTCCTTTAAATTATAAATTCAAAAGCACTGTTTTTGAAAGGTGAGAAAATAAATACCCTACTTGACAAACTGATTACAGTTCAATGTACTTCAGATACAAACATGCAGTTTCAATTAATTATACATAAATTTTATTTGAAGAAAGCACAACATAGAACCACAGCATTTCAATTAAGGAGCCTGGTGAAATAAGCATTTTCTTTATCTGATATGCTTACACGGTTCTCCGGTTACTATTCAAATAATAAATTTTTAACACCAAAGTTAACTCAAGTGAAGAAGAAAAAAGTCCAATAAGCAGATTTGAGCGATGAGTTTAAAACACTACTCTGTCTTCCTGTGTTCTTTCCCACCAAAGTGTGCTGTTTAAAGTTCCACAACTATTATCGTCTTCCTCTTGTTCCTTAGTGAGTTCTACAAAAACCTGAATGAAAGAAGAGATGTGAATACAGCATGCTGTACTGCAAGTATGTCAACAGACTTTCAGTCAAATTAGGTAAGGCTGTTCCTGTACCACTCAATTCTCAAGAAAGATTTACTGGTATTAATATTATTCAAACAAAAGAGTCATCTACATTAATCACATCTTCTACTATTTTAGAAGATTTACACATTACTTGTTTTATGATCAATATACATAAGGAGAACTGTCCTGATACTTAAAAACGTCAGAAATATTTAAACAATGTAATTGTATCAATGTTAACATGAAATGCTAGCACCATCATCTGCTTTCTTTATCAAACTGGAAGAAACTGAGCTATTCAAAATAAGCAGAGAGCCTAAAGTTGTTAAACTTATATCAAATGTTTAGGAATATTCTATAACAATTTGTCTCTGGTTCATAATCTACTTCCAATATAAACCTAAACAACTGGATATAAAACACCTTCATTGATAAAATATATATATTTTTTTTTAAATTTAACTTTATATTAACAACAAAGCCAAGAGACAAACTACAGAATAGAAAAATTTGGGATCCATATATCAGATTAAGATTTAATATCCAGAGTATATAAAGAACTTCTACAATTTAACAAGAGACAAACAACTTTATCAAAAAACCCAATCAAAAAATGGGCAAAGGATGTGAACAGACATTTCACTAGAGAAGATGTACAAATGGCAGACAGCACTAGGCAGAGGCAGGTGCCAATCAATCCCCAGTGAGACACCATTTCACTCCCACTAGGATGGCCAAGATTTTTTTGTAAAAGCACAAAACAACAAATGTTGGTGAGGATGTGAAGAAACTGGAACCCTCATTCATTCATTCATTGCTGGTGAGAATCCAAAATAGTACAGCCACTGTGGAAAGCAGTGTGGTGGTTCCTCAACAAGTTAAGCATAGAGATGCCATATGAGCCTACACTTCCACTCCTAGGTATATACCCAAAGTCTAGAGAGCAGCAACGCAGACAGACACATGTGCAGCAATGTCCACTGCAGCACCCTCCACAACAGCGGAAGGTGGAAGCAGCCTAGACATCCATCAGTAGAGGATGGACAAACAAAATGTCATACATGCATACAGTGGAATACTACTCAGCCAGAAAGAGAAATGAAGTTCGGACACATGGACGAATCTTGAAAACATTATGCTGAGTGAGAGATTTCAGTCACAAAAGGCCAAATACTGTATTGTCTCAGTTATATGGGATCACAGTGCACAGAGAGCAGAACTGACCGTGGTGACCAGGGGTAGGAGAGAGGCAGGAAGGAGGAGTCATTGTTTAGGAAGCTAACAGTGATGATGGGGAATCTAGCAATACTTATGGGGGATGGCTGAAAAACATTGAGTTGGCAAATGTTCTGTTATATGTATTTTTACAACAACAAAAATTCCTAGATGCATACACACAAAATTAACTTTACAGTACCTGTTCCAATGTTGCCTGAGAAAAGCTGTATTCTTCGATGGCAAAAGTGTGTTTCACTATTAAAGTGGGAAAACAGTATTTTAGTTATCAGTATTTTTAAAGAGTAACATGGTAATAATTACTAAGGTGGCTAACAATCTTTGTTTAAGAAAAAGATCTTTGTAATCAACTCATTTAAATTTGAAGTTGCCACACGGTTCTTTTCCACTCCTTGCTCCCTTCTCTTTCCCACTCCCATAATTCCTCTTTAGTCCTAAGCACCATGTTTAATGTTACTTGTGTTATTCTACCTGTTCTAAGCATCTCCTCCCTGTTACCCTTTTCTTTCATGTTTTCTTTTGATCTTTGCTCCCTACCTCCCATTTTCCAACTCTGATCTATTGGTTCTTGATGTCTTGAACTAGATTCCAGTTATTGGTCCTATTTCCATAAACTTGTCTCTCTTTCTCTTTAGCATGTCTTTATCCTACCCACCACTGCCTCTGAGAGCTGCCAAGATTCACTAGGTTTCTTTAGCACTCCCCCCACTCTCCCGCACTGTCAGGTCTCCTCTGCGACAGCCCCCCCACTCTCCTGCACTGTCAGGTCTCCTCTTTGCTCTCCTGCTGCCATTTGGAGTCTTGACAGCACTGCTGTTTCTTGGCCCAGTACTAAGTCAGGATTCAAGAAACTCAATGCTCCCACTGCTGGACTGAATTGATGAGTGATAATTACAGTGAACTTTACCAGAGATGCAATGTGATAAACTGTGGTGATGTCCACTGGAGACTGTAAAGGTTTATGTGACAATATAATTGATGCATAAAAATCCTCACAGTATTAGTATTTACCTTTATCTTAGATGAAATGAATAAAAGGCTATCTTCTCATTTATTACACTTTCTAAAAACTCTGACTCTAGAGTTCTAATATTTTTAAATTAAATTCTTTCGTAACTTGAGAACTACCTTGAACTTTTCTTCCCCCCCCGCCCCCAAATACTACTTACCTTCTTCCAGCTTAGAAAAAGATTGTGAAAGAGACTGTACATCTTCCTTAGGGATTTTATAGGCCAAAATAGAAGAGAAGCTGAAAACAAAAGTAAGATTAAAATGTAGGAAAATTCAAAGTTAACTACTACTGCATTCTAAAGCTAAAGGTAAAAATTAAACTCTAATAATATGTTTTTAATATGTATTTGGATAAACATTGTTTGAAATTATAAAATATCTTCATGTACATAAAATAATTCTATCCAGCTGATAAGAATTTATAAAAGTTAAAATAGTATTAAATTTAACACGAAGTTAGATATAAAACTCCACTAATCAGTTTATGTTAGCCCAATATCTGTGGTAACAAATAGGTATTTTCACGTAAGAGAGAAATATATATATATGAAAACATTCTTTTTACTCATAGGCTATTTTGCGTGTGTGTCCACATCCATCTCTCTCTCTAAATACACACACACACACACACACACACACACAGGGTGAAAGAGAGAGATAAAGGATGGAAGAGAGAGAGAAAGGCCATGAGTGAAAAAAGGGTTTTCCCAATCCTTAATACAAGAACAAATTTTTATGATTATTGCTCTACAAAGAAATACAGCTAAATTTTTTAACCTTTACCTTTCCTGACGGATTGCATTTGGGAAAATATACTGAATTTCTCTTTGGAGGCGGTCTACTTCTAGGTTTTCAATCCAGTCCTTAAGTTTGATTTCCAAAAAGTAGCCTTTCCCAAATTTACTCTTTAGATGTTGTACTGTCCCAATACATCTGTAGTAATTTTTAAAAAAGAGCTCAGATAAAAAATGACAGTTTCAAAGAATGATTTCTCCCTTAAATCTCTATGACCTTAATTTCTGGAATCATTTTAGATTTACAAAAAGGTTGTAAAGATAGTACAGAGTCCCCAGATGCCCCTCCCTCAGTGTGTTTCCCTAAAGTTATCATCTTACATTATTGTGGTACACTTATCAAAATTAAGAAACCAGCATGGGTACACCACTATTAACTAAACCCCAGACCTCCAGACTTCATTTGGACTTCACTCATTATTCTCCCAATGTGCCTTTTCCATTTCAGGATCTGCCCAGGATGCCACATATCACTCAGTTGTCCTGTTAGTCTTCTGTGACAGAGTCTCACTCTGGCCTTATTTTTGAGGAGGACTGCTCAGATAAATTATCTCTCACTTAGGGTCAGTAGAATGTTTTCCTCATAATCAGATGAGGCTTAAGTTTCCAGAGAGACACTACAGAGCTGAAGGTCCTTCTGATCACACACGTCTGGGGATACATGAGCTCCACCTAACAGATCTCTCTACTGTGAAGTTACTCTTTTCTGTCCTCTGTTCTCTAGAAGTAATTTGCTAAGTTCAGTCCATACTTGGGGGACTGAATCTTTAGACTAATGGAATCCTTTTTTATATATCTATAAAATAAGTTTTATATCTAACATGGCCGGATCTTTAGACTAATTGGAATCCTTTTGTGAGGTAGAACTGTCACTTCTCTCCCATTTATTTACTTAATAATTCTCTATGACTATAAACTCAAGTATACTTATTTTATATTTTAATTATAATCCAATACCATGTCTAACATTAATATTTAAAAGTGACAATCATACCTGAAAAATTCCAAATTGTTGAATAATTCCAAATAAAAGGTAGCCAGCCATGTTTTAGAAACTACTAACATATTTCCAAGTAATTATACAAAAAAGCTACAGTGATACTACATTTTTTTTAACATTTAAATCAATATTTATTACTACCATTACTAATTTTTCTAATGGTGGCATTCAAAAGCCAACCAATCATGTTTCCCCAGTTGGCATGGTATTTAGACATCTACCTCAACTGTCCAGACACCATAATAGCGACCCGGTCACAAACAGCCTCTGCTTCCTCCATGTAATGAGTGGTCAGAATAGCAGCTCGCTTTTTATTTTTAAATGCAGTTCGAATTGCTCGCCTGTAAAACATATAAAATAAACAAAGGAAAACATCTTTATGTTAATAATGTTTGGGTTTTTAAAAATCTAACTACCAGGTTAATTTGGTTAATAAAAGCTTATCAAATAGCAACTGCTGTGACTATTTTATCCTGCCCAACTGTGATTTCTATATTCTAGTTTACTTTATTTGTGACAGCTTATCACATAGAAAGAGATCTCATGATTTTAAAATGTCTCCGTGGGATAAAATTAAGTGCGTCAAACCCACTTCACTTTCAGCACACTAGGTTGTGAAGCACTTACTGATGATGAAAGACTACAGCCTTCAATATGGATTACACCTCAACATAAAGAAAACAAAAACCCTCACAACTGCACCAATAAGCAACATCATGATAAATGCAGAAAAGACTGATTTCATTTCTCAAGGATTTCATTTTACCTGGATCCAAAACCAATGCCCATGGGAGCAGTAGTGAAGAAATCAAATCATGCACTGCATTGGGCAAACCTGCTGCAAAAAAACCTCTTGAAGTGTTAAAAAGTAAAGACGTCACCTTGAGGACTAAGATGTGCCTGAACCAGGCCACAGTATTTTCAATTATACCATGGACTGCCAAAAGAACAAACAAAGCCGTCTTGGACGAAGTACAGCCAGACTTTGTCTCATATACTTTAGACATCTTATCAGGAGGGAACCGTCCCTGCGGAAGGACATCATACTTGGTAGAGGATCAGTGAAAAAGAGGGAGACCCTGAACAAGACGGACTGATACAGTGGCTGCAACAATGGGCTCAAGCACAGCCAGAACTGTGATGATGTCATGGAGTGGCGATGGGTCGGAACCAACGTGATACAGCTAACAACGTATAACAGTAAGTTATGAGAACTGATGCATTTTCATGTATAACAAAAACAGCCATACACTGATAGGCGTGAAGGAAGCCTTGGCATTCATCCAAACCAAGCCTTGCACTAAAGCCCAAAGACTTGGCCAACCAATACTGAACTACCAGAAATAGTTTCAACATAAATTCAAGAAAATAGTCTTATGAGAAAGGTAATTTATTAAAAATGACTAGAAATTTTAAAAGCTTTTCACGCAACAGCATTCATTTACCCATTCTGTTTCAGAATATATAAAATATTGTCAACATCACATACAAAATATAATAGTTATAAAAGTTTAAAGGAATCACTACTATTTCATCATCTGTGTCCAACTGTAAATCCTCCCGTGTATATCACTAGTGAACTACTCTTGTGTTCTACAGGGTGATGTGATTTGTCTCAAGCTTTTCGTTGCCATACTCACCACATGTGCTGTTTGGCTTTAGGATCCATACCTGTAGATGGCTCATCTAGCAGAGTAACCTGAGGATTTCCCAGCATACTCAGAGCAAAACACAACTAGATGGAAAGAACATGGGGGTGGGGAGACACAATTAAGGCTTCACTATAAGGAAGTCTATCAAGATACTATCAGGCAATAAATGATCAAAAAATATACGTATATTCATTATTAAATGAACACACCTTTCGCTTGATTCCTGCAGGAAGTTTCTTTATAGTTTTCTGAAGATGTTCTTTTAAATCAAGTGCATTTGTAATTCTGTGAAATGGACAATACAAAATGAATATACCATGATATACATAAATAAATATCCATATAAACCGCTTGTGATCATTGACAGTTTTTTCTGAAACAGTTACTCAGTTAACCTTTACTACAATTATGTAAATTCCAATTTATATAATTTTAAACAAGTTAACAGCTTAACAATAAATGCCTTATTTTAAATTGAAGCAAGTTTTGTGACACCTATGTATATTCCTTCTGTAATAAGAAATAGAAAAATCACCTTTTATTTTCATAGCTATCATAATTTTGTAAATATGAAAATGGAATAACCATATTCTATTAAAATTATGATCCATGGAAAGACCTGTAACACAATTTTTAAAAATGAAAAATGTTTGTTACTTTCCCTCAAGTAACAAAAGGTTCTAAAAATTTTACCTGCTTATGACTTCCTTCATGTCATTTGCACTCATTCCTTTCACAGCCCCATAAATCTCAAAATGTTCCTGCAACGTACTATCTGGCCATAGTGGGTTCATCTGAGGGCAGTATCCTATACACTTAGCGGAGTCATCATCTTCAGTCGATTCTGAAGAATAACCTCCTAGAAATATCTACAGAAATACAAAGCTATTTTTAATAACCATTTCTGCTTAATTTGCTTTTGTGAAGGAAGTGATAAGTAGATTAATTCCACCCCCTTCCTACAGCCAGCATATTGTCAGGTCAGATTTTTACTCTTCTTTTAATGAACCAAGTACACAGTTAAATCAGAGTTCAGTGACATGGCCAGAAAGGGTGATTAGGAATACAGGGTTGAGTGGGGAGGGAAAGTCAGCATTTTAAATAGAAGGATCAGGGCCTCATTGGAGGTGACACTTGAACCAAAAAGATAAGTGAGTTTAATCATTTGATTTTCTAGGGGTGCAGTGAAGTAAATTACGTAGTGTGGCTTTTCTAGCCATAAGTCTTTTGTAAACTCTGTGGTGGAATTTGCCATGAGCAACTGAGTAGCTCCTATTGTTAAAGTCATCCACTTGGGGTATTTCTTTTGGAAGCAGCAGGAAATAATTTTCTGGGAAGTTCGCTCTCTCTCAGGTGTATAGAATTCTGATGTTGGGAATGGCTGCTTTGGGCCACTCTGCCAGGCTCCAAAGGAGCCCTTCTAGAGGCAGAAGGAGTCATCTTACATTATTGTATACATTGCTAATAGAAAGACGCGCTCCTGAGAGATGTGAGAGACACATGCTGCTGAGAGACACAAGAGATGCACACTACTGAGAGAGCAATGTGCCACTGACACTGCTGGCTGCTGAGTGAGACAGCCAGCCACAAGAGACTGAGTACATTTCTGAACTTGAATTATAGCCTGGTGATTCCCTAATAAACCCCATAATCTGTGAGTTCTGTTTGGCCACTGCAGTGAATTATCAAACCCAGCAAAGAGACGATGGGTGCTGCAGGAGGAACGGTTGGTGAAAGGGCTGGAGGGAGGCATGTCTGGCCTCCCAGGAATATGCCTTGGACTGCTGATGGTGATTCTGTCCTCCTCTTGCTGGGTTAGAGGAAGTCAGACGATGTGGCCCCCTTTGGCAAGGGGGTAAGGTATAGCCAAGACAGGAAACAGCTAAGGTAAAAACCCCAAAGGACTATTTCTGGCATTCTCCAGGAAAGCAGTGAGCCAATATGGACAGTATGAAGTTAGCAAGGGAAAGAAAAATAGAAGATGCAATCAGAGTAGTTTTGAGAAGTTGGTAAAGGTATGCTTGCAATGAGACTACTCAATGGCAGGATCAAGGCTAGCTCTCATATCTCCTAAAGATAAGACAACTGTCTTAAGCTGGCTGACAAAATCATTCATCCAAAGCTAAACCTGGTGCCACTGAGTTGACTTCTAGTCACAGCAAACCTACTGGGTAAGATGAACTGCTCAACGGGGTTTCTAAGACTATAAATGTTTATGGAAGCAGACTGCCACACCTTTCTTCCTCCACTGAGCAGCTGATGGGTTCAGACAACCAACCTTTCAGTTAGCAGTCTAGAGCTTAACCACAGCACCACCAGGGCTCCTATATCACCCATACATGTAATAATTATGAAAGCAGAAACACAGGATGTATATGTGTCTGTGTGTCTGTATATAAGTAAGTATGAAAATTTCACTGTGTACATTATTTTCACAGATAACTAAAGAGAGCATAATTTGAAGAAGTTATAATAAGAAATTAATACTTGAAACAAATATAAAATTTGAGCACCAATATTATAACTAATCATTAGGAAATTTATTTTGATAAAAAAATATCAATCATATTCAATGTATCTCATATCCTTGTATATCATACCTGGCCTGAAGTTGGTTCAATATCACCAACCAGGATATTAATAATTGTGCTTTTCCCTGCACCATTTGGTCCCAGTAATCCGAGGATCTCACCTAAAAGAAATAATAGGAAAATATCATCATACACAAATCATATTGAAAATAGAAATTACTTTTCTTGGAAAGTTATTAAGAAAAATTAATTGAATACCAGCCTTTTTTCACACAGAAAGAGACATATTTAGTTGCCACTTTCTTTACTTTTCTGGTAAGAAGAAAATCTTTTCTGTCATCATATTCTTTATGCAAATTGCTGACCATGATAGCTGGTTTCTAGTAAAGGAAATCGGATTTAAAAACAGAGTTATAAATCACATAGCTATCAGGAAATGACAGGCTGCACATACCTCATGTCCATATTATAAGAATTACATTTGCTAATAATAGGTCCTGTACAAATACATATCTATGACTAAAATTACAAAAATATTTTTTCAAAGAAAAGATGTGCTTTTCAGATTAATTCATATGCAGAGAACAATATTTTTTTCCAGATTAATGCTTATGCACTGGGAATTAATTAATCAGTCCACATTTAACCTGACTTAGCTATAAAGGCTAATTTACCTCTTCACAACACTGGCAATTCATCAGCTCCCTGACTTTCAGTCTTTCAGCTTTCACATCTTCATCTTCATCTTCATTGTTTGGTGGTTCTGGAAACTTCTTAGTTTTAGACTTTGTCGAAAGGTTCCTAAATATATAAAGATAGTAGATTTTCAAATAATTAAAATACTAAGACATTCAGGTACCATATGGAAAAAGACTGAAAAAAATATACCAGCATTAAGATCTGTGGTTACGTCAGAAAGGTGGTGTTACAAATGATCATTTTAATTCACTAATAACTATTTATCAATGAATATGTGTTTAATAAATACAAGAATATATTATCTAAATTCATGCACTTAGTCAACACTATTATCTGTGAACAGTATACATCAGGCACTATGCCACAGAGAGAAAGATGGATGAAAAAACCTGGACCCTTTTCTCCAAGAATTTATAGCCTGGATGTAAACAAAATCATCCAGGAGAGTAGAGGTAGAGTCTACTCTGACTAAAGTCAGAGCTCTTAAGAATACCATTTTTCAGGATAGACAGAGGAAGATTGCTTTGCAAACATGCTTACAAAGAAGACTTTGAAATAAAAGAGTGGTAAGGAGGCAAATAGGTGACATTATGGAAAAGAAAGGAACAAGAGAAAAGCATAAGGGGAAGAAGTCAATCATATTAAAGCCTGCAGATTAGTTCAACAAGTTGGCATGGCAAAAAAAGAAGTCATTGGTTATCCTACCACAAATAGTATCAGTGCACAGGTTAAGGGTAAAAACTAAATTGAAGGGAGTTAAGGATTAAGTGGAAAGTCAAGAAACAGAGATAGATAAAGGCTATGGAAGAAGAAAGATGGGTTAAGGGCTAGAGAGGGATTCATGTTCAAATGAGACTTATGGGTTCTGACATTTACTATTTTGCTTTTACGTGGGAAGATGATCTTCCCCCCAAAAAATCCTACTGAGATCCAGAAGAGGAGGATACAGAAATAGAAAGGAAAACTAATGAAGCAACATCCTAAAGTACTCGGGATGCATAAAGACATGGACAAGTGGAGGGGCAGCGGTTCCTCTGGGAGTGGGCAAAGGCAAAAATGATGCAAGATGTGGAGAAATTTATAATTGATAATTAGGTGTTTTTGTTTTCTGAGATAGGTAGCAAGATCATCTATTGAGAAGTAGGTAATGAAGTGAAGTGGGATGAACTTAGGAATCTGAACAATACAAAAAAGGTTTGGGATAACTATTGAAGAAATGCTAACTAATAAAATGTGGTAGGGTTACCAAGCAACGTTAAAACAAAGTTTACACATATTATCAGTCTTTATGTCTGTGTGATTTTTCTCTAGCATATGGTTAAATTCATTATTACAGTTTTTAGTGGCCAAGTCAAAGAGATACAGAAGTTGAGAATGCTGAAAGAGGGTTAATATATGAATCATGTGGACAAGGATGGATAGAGAAAAAAGGAAAAACAGTGATTAGTCAATATAATTGAGAGAAGAGGGAAAATTTAGGGCTGTAAAACCATAATGAGATTAGGAAGAAAAGTCCTATATGACTAACAAATAAGGGTTAGAAATTTTAAAAATACATATAATGGTAGAACTGGACACCAAAATTTAAACTTTTGGAGATGAAGTAAAAAGTGATATCATGACACTGGTGCAAATAAATAGTGGAAGTGGGGCAGAGGCTAAAGTCACTGGTTTGTAGAAAATAAAAAACTGAGGGGTTAAGGCATTAGAAGGTTATGTGGATGCTGAGTCTACCCTCAAGAGGGCAGAAGAACAGGGTGAAGAGGAAGCAGGAGAGCTGGATGCTCAAATCCTCAATGGATGCGGGGAGCCTCCAGTGGTTAATATATAACCTTTGGACGTTTCAATACCAGTGGCCATTATGTTGGTTCCAACTCACGGCCATCCCGTGTATGCCAGAGTGTAACTGTGCTCCATAGCATTTTCAATGGCTGTTTTTTTGGAAGTAGATTACCAGGCATTTCTTCCAAGGAAACTTCAACCTTTTGTGTGGACTAAGGTGTGCCTGACACAGCCATGATATTGTCAATTGCTTCGTATGCATGTGAGAGCTGGACAATGAGTACGTAGACTACCAAAGAATTGATGCTTTTGAGTTGTGGTGCTGGCAAAGAATGCTGAAAGTACCATGGAGTGCTAAAAGAACTAACAGATCTGTCCTGGAGGAAGTGCAGCTAGAATGCTCCTTGGAAGCAAGAATGGCCAGACTTCGTCTCACCTACTTTGGTCATGTTGTCAGAAGGGATAATTCCCTGGAGAAGGATGTCATGCTTGATAAGGTGGAGGGTCCACAAAAGAGGGGAAGGCCCTCAATGAGATGGATTGACACAGTGGCTGCGACAATGGGCTCAAGTACAGCAAGGATCATGGAGCTGGTGTGGGACCGGGCAGTATTTTATTCTGCTGTGCATAGGGTCGCTATGAGTTGGACACAACTCAACAGCACCTAACAATAACAACTACTCTGGTGGCATAGTGCCTAAGGCATTTGACTGCTAACCGGAAGGCTGGTGGTTCAAACGCACCAGCCACTCCTCGGAAGAAAGATTGGGCAATTTACTTTCCATAGAGATGCAGCCTTGGAAACCCAAGTAGAGGTTGCTATGTTGTGGTTACCTAGTGCTGCTCTGACAGGAATATATCACAAATGGGATGGCCTTAACAAACAGGAGTTTATTCTTAAAATTTGGAGGCTTTAAGTCCAACTTCAATGTGCCAGGCTCTAGGGGCTTGGGTGAAAGCCCCTCAACCCTGGGGTCCAGCTCTGCCTCCTGCTCCTGGCCCAATGGAGCTAGAGGTGTTTCTTCACTCAGACAGCTACTGGCTGCTGAGGCTGAGAAGCCCCAAGGTTGACAAGTAAAAAGGGCACAGTCCCGATGTTACCAAACCACACCACAGGCCATTAACTTAATGAAGTCCATTGTAAGTCCCAAGGTCGGCAGAGCATAGTAGGCTGCCGAGCAACGACATGGCTACATGCAGGGTCCAAGCGTGCCATAGGCTACAGACTATCCCCAAGGCTTCACCTTATATACAGGAAGCAGACCACATCCCAAAGGCAGCAACCCAGCTGCTTGTGGTAGATCTCATCATGGAGTTGATTGCCAGTCTCATCACATGGGGGAATAACTACCACCAGCTGCCCAGCCACTCAACCAGGCCCAGCCAAGTTGACACACAAACATAACTACCACACTATGAGTCAGAAATGACTCAATGACAATGAATTTGGCTTTTTTTTGGGGGGGGAGGGGTCTACTTTGAGGAGGCAACTCTTCCCCAGTCATATTTTGACTGTCTTCCAACCAGAGTAGCTTATCTTGCAGCGCTGTATCAGACAACGTTTCACAGCTATTCATAAAGTTCTCCACTAGTATATTAGACAGTGTTTCACTGCTATTCATAAGGTTTTCAGGGACCAGCTTTTTGAGAAGTGGAAGATCCTGTCCTTCCTCCCAGTCTGTCTTCATCTGGAAACTCCAATGAAATCTGTCAACCGTGGGTGACCCTGCTGGTATGTGAAATACCAGTGGCATAGCCTCCAGCCTCACAGCAACATGCAAGCCACCATAGTACAACAGACAGACGAGTGGTGGCTAGCTTTGTACAGTGTATTAATATTCAACAAATAAATAAGTAAGCAAAGTTGTGAGTAATATAAAAGGAAATTCAAAATAAAATCAGCACCAAATCAAAAACAAACTCACTGCTATCAAGTCGATTTGACTCATAGCGACCCCCTCCTTGGGTTTCCGAGGCATCTCTCTGGAAACAGATTGCCTAATCATCCTTCTGAGGAGTGGCTGGTAGGTTTGAACCCCCAGCCTCTGGTTAGCAGTCAAATGCCACCAGACTTCCCAAATTAGTACCAGTAACTATATTTCACTCCACATCTCTTAATTAAATGTAAATTAACCATGAAAAGAAACTGCACAGATCAGGAAAAAGTACTGGCAAATCATGTATCTAATAAGAGACTTATATTCAGAGTATGTGAAGAACTATTAGAACTCAATATTATAAAGACAAATAACTCAATTTTCTATAATGAGAAATGGTTTCAATAGATGTTTCTCAAAGATACATGAATGGCTAATAAGCATGTGAAAAGATGCTCCATGTCATTAGTCATTAGGGAAATTTAAAACAAAACCACAATTAGATACTGCTTCACACGAAATAGAATGCCTAAAATAAAAAAGACAATGGTATGCATTGTGGAGAAAGTAGGATCCTTACACATTGCTAAGAGCTCTGGTGGCATAGTGCCTAAGAGGCATCTGACTGCTAACCAGAAGGCTGGTGGTTCAAACTCATCAGCCACTCCTCAGAAGGAAGACTGGGCAATCTATTTCCATAGAAATACCCCCTCGGAAACCCAAGGAGGGGTCACTTTGAGTAGGAACTGACTCCATGGCAGTGAGTTTGATTGTTGGTTTTTATACATTGCTGATAGGAACATAGTATGATGCAGCCACATTGGAAAACAGTCTGGCATTTCCATATGACTCAATTATTCCATTCCTAGGTATTCACTCAAGAAAAGTAAAATCATATGCCCACACAAAAACATGTACA